GGCGGGTTTGGGTGGGGCGCTCTTTGTGAGCGCTGCTGCTAGTGATTGCGGGTCGCACTATATATACGAGGGGTACGCCGCGCCCCGCCGCGCCGCTCCCCGCCACCTTAAAGCCCGCGGGGCCACACAAAGGCCCGGCCGGGTCGCTCTGCTCGCTCTCTATAATAATACATCGAAGGAGGAGGAGAAGAGAGAGAAAGTGAGAGGCGAATAAAAAGACTCGGCGACAGGCGAGCGAGACAGAGTACTGCGTCGGGCCGGGCCGGCAGGGCGGTGCCCAGGGCCCAGGGCCCACCTGCTCCAACCCGCGCCCTCCATCTCCCGATGTCGGGCACTGATGACCCACCCAAGGCTGCGCGCGAGGCTGCGCGTTATTCGGAAATCAACAGCAGTTTTGCCATTGCCATGATCTATGATTCGTGGTCGTGGTGCTGATGTGTGCATCTCTATCGCACAAATTGACGAACCAAGAGAGGCAAAAGCGGGTGAAAGAGAGACATTGTGGGGTAACAATAAAATAGGGAGATATTATGATGCAACGCATGGTATAGCATAACTTGTGGTTGAAATGGTGATCGGAAAGGTTTGAAAGTTTGAGACATCTCATGTTCTAAATGGAACACGGTAAAAACAATGTCTCATTTTTTTTTGAGGGGAAAAGGGAACACTCCTCAAATTTCGATGAAGTCTCCTCAAAGAATATTGGGAATTTTCGTTATTTTTTGAGAAGATTCCCCAAAATCTGTTGCGAGACTAAAGAAGTTTCCCTCAAATAAGGAAGTTCCTCAAAGTTTTTTCAAAAAAAAAAAACAGACATGGTTTTTACCGTGAACAGAAAATCGTGTTCTGCACCTTAGACGAGACACACTTCACTCTACTGTGGGACACACTACATTTAGTTTCAGAGAGCTGCTAGAATGTTCCATGGTATATTTAACGGTGTAAGAGAGCGACAGGGATAAGCTGCCAGCGGACGATGCGACAGACTCCACCCACGCCGGGCCGGGGACGCGCAGAAAGTTCAAATCTCCAGTGAGCTTCACTTTCATTATTTCTATCATATTTTTCTTTCCTTCACGTTCCCCTCAGAGCTGACACAGTTCCTCTTATCTAACTCCCCCCCCCCCCCCTTTCCTCCCTTGTGAAATAAATGATGTCGGGCACGCGCAGAAAAGGTGAGATCAATCGTGGCCGCGAATACGTAATAGAAGGCGGTGCTCAATTTTTCATACCGGCGGGTTGCCTGCCACCGGGTCGCAGGTGGCGGCGCGCTGAGGTGGCGAGGCGCACCGGGCGGGGCGGGGCGCGGTAGGGCTGGGCGTGCGCTAAGAGGGAGGCGGGTGTGGGAACGCGAGCACGTGCCCGCGGGCGGAGCGGGGAGCAGGCGGGGTAACCACAAGCGGGGTAACCCGCGGCGGGGTAAGCAGGGCGGCGGCGGCGCTGCTTGCGGCTTTACCTCATCCCCTATCAGGCGAGGCGGGAAGGGGCGTTTCGAGAACGGATCACGGCGTCCAAATTTGGCAATCCTCTCTCCGGCACCCTCCACCGCCACCCCCACCACCCCCCACTCGAGCTGGAGAGCTAATTAGTTAGGCCCTAGAAAGGTTAATATCTCCCGCCCAACGCCCCCAACTCCGCGGCAGGCGAGTCAACCCCGAATGGAAAATCAATGGCTTTGCATACCAAATCAGAACTATAATATGCCCGTCGCTTTCCCCTCGCTTAAAATTGTTTTTCTGATAAACTGGGTGTCCTTAGGCCCCGTATACCGCTTCTACTTTACCGCATTCAGCTGTGTGAGTCGTGGGTAGGATGCCGATTCGCTTGGCACTATAGGGCACCTCGCTGAACAGGTGAACAACAGTGGTATTCAATCGGTAATACTAGACGCCGTAGACAACTTGATTTGCAAAATTTTTATTTTCTATTTTAAATGGCATTCTTAGAATTCTTGGCATTCTTTAACGGACTGCCAATTTTCTGGCCTCTTAACTTATTGCCTAATTTGGTCCTCGATTTAGCACTCCAAAATCAAATCGACAGAATTTGAACTATTGTAGAACATCCTAAGAGGACGGAGAAAGTCAAATGCTTGCCTAGATAATAAATCAAGGTGTCATCGCTTAACTATCCCAGGACCAAACGACACAGTCTATTCTGACCAATAAATGAACTTTTAATTATTTACCATAGAACACCCCGTAAACCAATCTGCTGTCTGCCCTAGGATTAATTTGATTCCCGATCGGTTAGGTATGATAATACTTGCAAATATGACATGTCAAACTTTACAAGGTGCAGCAGATAAAAGGCAGGAACAGTTCCTTTTAAAAGTCTTTCCGGGTCTTGCTAGACATGAACCGGGAACTTATTCATCAGCAGGGAATCACGGGGAAATGTTAGTGGTGTGTACTTGAAAGTCTGGTATACACAATCACCTCCACTTTCCCATAAGCAAGGTTGTTTGCCTATCGCAGGAAATTCCTTGTTTTCCCAATCCTTCAACAGTTTTCATGAGTTATCATTTGGCAAGTACGCAGGCAGCGGCAGGCAGGCAGGCTGAGCAGCAGGGTTGGCATAGAGTATTAAATTAAATCTAAATTGAGTCAAATTCGGTCAAAAAATTTAGCACTTCACGTCACACTACAGTGCCATTAGCGTCAGCCGATGCCCGACCTAGCTCACGCTCATGAAGCCGTCGACTGCGAATTTTGTAGTAGTGTTTTGTAGTCGGTAGGTGTCCCCAGCTGTATTACATTCTGCCCCTTTTCACCCCATTTAGCACCATTTAATTCTTCATGCCAACCCTGCTGAGCAGGCGGTTGGGCCGTATTTACGCCAGAGGGCCAGGGATTGGGATTTTTCCCGGCAGCGCCCTCCTGCCCTGTCGGTTGTGTCATTTGCGGCTGGGCCTGCACACGGCTGGACCTGGCCGAGGCGGGGCCCTTAGCCGGAGCTGGCCGGCCGTCGGGGCAGCAGAGCCTTCGGGCTGGCCCAGCGCCGCCCAGCGCCGCCCAGCGCCGCCCAGCGCCGCCCCCTCATGTCCACCACTCGGGGCCTTCAGGACCAAGCGCCCTCCTCTCTGTGATGAGCTGCGGGCCGAGCGGGCGGGGCAGGGCCGGGCACGGCACGGCACGGCCATGGGGGCCTTGAGAGGGCGGAGAGGCACACAAGGCCGAGTAAGTCAAAGCTGAGAGTGAGAAAAGAAAGAAAAAAAAAGGGCTCTTCGCTTTTCGCGCCCTACGCAGTTTAATTCATTTTGACGTGAAGGTCGGCTGCTGCTGGGGCGCGGGGCGCGCGCGACGCCGCGAACAGCTTGCTCCAGTCGATGTTGGCCAGGTTGCCGCAGTTGTTGCCGGCGCCGGCGCCACCCGCCCCGCCGGCCCGGCCGCCACCAGCCACCGCCACGGCGCAGCTCGTGGACTGAGCGATGGCCGTGTTGGGCCCTCCCGGGGGCGGCGGCGGGGGCGGCGCGGGGGGCCGAGCGGCGGAGGCGGCGACCGGCCGTCTGGCGAGGTGGTGCTGCGCGCTCTGGGACACCAAAGAGGAGGGACCATACGCCACCATTCAGAAAAGGCTCGTTACTTGTTACTTGGCCGGCGTTTGTCATTTTTTCGCCAGGCCGGTCGATGCGCGACGATAAGGTGCAGAGGAGGTACTTACCGTAGCGGGTGCAGTGGCCAGCAGCAGCACTAGCGACGCCAGCAGCGCCAGCAGCGCCACGGAAAGCATCTGCGACAGGAAAATGAGCAAGTCAGACAGGTCAGTAGAGAGCTTTAAAAACATGAAATATTTTTAGCACATGATACCTTACAAACATTTTGACTAAACATAAAGAATATGTAAGTAACTTTAAGGTGTCAGCTAGCTTTTACTCTCGATGAGTACAAAGAACCATAAGCGCAGACCAGAAAACAATTTATTTGGCGCTGCGGGGGCCGAGTGAGTGAGTGAGTGCCCGAACGCCCGAGTGTCGCGTCGGTCGCGGCAGGCCCCTGCTCAACAATACTAGGGTCCCACATCCGCGACTGCCACCCGGTACGCTACCCCGTCCCTCCCCTTTATAATAATGCCTGTCAAAGACGATAAACGAGTGAAACATTTAAAAAATGATGCAAAACCACCACAAATAAAAATCAAACTAGAAAAATTAAAACACAGGTATACTATAGTATTAAATTGGTATCATCTGCTTTCAAGATAGATTCTTGATTTAGATTTTGTTTCATATTATGCAAGAAGTTGGACCAAAACACAAAAACCCTTAGAGACCAAAGAAGCGAACAGGCCCTTAAAGCTCCCATTAAATCTATGACCCAAAGAACCGAGGTCTTGGACCAAGTACATTGCACTTGATACTTGATTTTTAGAAATATATCAAGACATATTAATTTAAAACTCACTTGGCCCAAGAAATCAGTTTGTTTGGAGGTACAAGCTTTTCTGTTCGATCCTGCGACGAAAGAATAATAACTAGAGGATTATTTTCAACGAAGCTACGAGTACATTGCAGCGCTTGCTTGTCGTGTCGCTCCCGGCCGCCCCTGACGCACTGACCGCTGCTGTCGGCCTTTATTCCGATCCCGGTGACAACAACCTGGGCGGCCGTGTCCAGCCGGGGGGGCCGCGGCGGCGGGGCTTGGGTCCGACATTAACATACGCGATACGCCGCCAGCGCCTCTGCCTTCCGCTGCACTACAAACGCGCCACGATAACGCGCGTGCAAATCGACGTGCGAAACATTTCAAAAAACCTCACACCCTTACATCCTTTCAGCAACAAACCAAGACATGCATATATATATGCAAAAAACCTAATGTATATTTTCTTAAATTGGCTTTGTACTTTGGGGAAAAAATTAAAAATGGACGCCTGTAACACCACCAGGGATCTGCGTTGGGCGGGCACAGTCCGCGCACCTCGCTTTTCATGCATGAGTGCTCTAGATCCCCCGGAGCTTCTTTTGCCTGCCCTTCCCTTCCTTAAAGCCCTTTTCAGCCAGCCCGCCAGCAGTGCATCTCTTTCTTCCAACGCGCCAATGCGTTTCGTCGCCTCTGGCGTGAGGTGCCCGGAAGTACCCGTGACCTGGACGATCGACGGGTTTTAAGGTGGCAGCGCTTGAATCGCACGAACAACCTCGCCTGCTGAATCCAAGCGCTCGCTGCGAGGTGACCCGCAATAAACCCGAGGGGGAGGGGTCCCCCACCCTCCAAGTAGGTGTACAATGAGTTAGGCGAGTAACCGCGAGTATTCGAGAGTATTGGTGATCCTCCGCGGGTACGCACCTACAGCCGCAAGTAGTCTTAATGCACGAGAGGAGGATGCCGATAGCTTAAACCTTCAAGCAGAACACCGCACCGAAAAGCTGTCCGGCCACCAAAAGCCTCCGTCTAAGAATGTCTCCACCCCGCTCCCCGCAATCTCCCCGGTTGCACCGCAACATGTTGTGCAAATAATGAACCGGACGAGCAGTGGCTGCATATTGCCGCGATAAGTGGTTGTCATCGCCGCGCCGAGCCGGGCTAGGCAGGTGTCGTAGACCTGTCCCCGCACCACGCCGCGCCACTCCTTGGGGGGGGGGGTGTCAGCCCGACTAGCAAACAAGACAAGGCCTCGAGAAGCTTGAAATAGCTGCCCTCGGCAGTCGGCTGTCACAGTCTACCAGACTTCCTCTACAGAGAGCTCTAGTCAGGCCAACCCACACTGCAACCAAAGATGAGTGAGTAATTCAACGATCCAAATGCACTGCGGCGGTTTAATCGTGCATCGTTGTTTCACATGTCGTATTCCTTGTGCTCGACAGCGTCCATGATGACCGCTCTCTCTATGGCCGCGGCCGCCACCATCCTCTGCGTCGTCCTCGGCAACGTGAGTCACCGTCGACTTCCTTTCATCAACACAGTGTCACATCAATCTTAATGATCACTTGCATCTTGCATGCAATATAGTAATGTTCAACTTGCAGTACACTGGTTACACAAATACTGATAAAAACTTGCAATTTGCAAGTGTTCAACTGCGCAGTAGTACATTTTTCAAGTGTTTAACTGCTCAGTAGCCCACTAAAATTCGGTAGTTGTCCCTTGTGCATTTGCAACTCCTCTGTTTAACAGTTAGTTCCCACACTGTACGCGTCCAATCGAAGGAAGTGTTCAACAGAGAGGTAGCACACTACTTACAAGTGCATAGCTATCGAGTTGAACACTACGTATTTGCAGTAGTCGCACAATTTTGCAAGTGTTAATCAGTTCAGTTGCAAACTTGGTTTATCAGCGTGAACACGAGTTGAACGAGTTGAACATTTCCTTCCTCTGTGTTAACACAGCCATTGCCGGCGGACGACGAGCGCGACGCAAACGCGTCTGCGCCGTCCAACTTCCTGAACTGCGCCAACGGCGTGGGTTCGGGCACCGGCTTCAACAACTGCAGCATGCCCCAGGCGCCCGCCGGCCTGCCCTCCATGCCCTCCGGCGTGCCCTCCGGTGTTCCCTCCGGCATGCCCGACTGGAGCTCCAACATGCCGCAGCCGCCCTCCGGGATGCCCCAGCAGCCGCCGCAGATCTCCCAGGGCGTGGACTGCGCCACAGCCGTCGGCCAGGGCAACGGCTTCAACAACTGCAGCAACATCATCCAGCCGCCCAGCGGCTTCTTCGGCTCCAGCACCAGGCAGGACTGAGGCACTGCACGCGCCCAAGGTATGCGGGGTTACACTGACAATCGAGGGGGCAATAACTCTGGGAATCATGTGACACACCGACCCGGGAATCAGCGGGAATCAATGAGAATTACGACGGAAACCAACGGAAATCAATGAGAATCACGACGGGAATCGATGGGAATAAACGGGAATCATGGATTCCGGGAATCATGTGTTCACTTGAATTCGGAGTTATTGCCCCCTTGCTAAAAATGCAAGTGTTCAAGTGTCAACCACCTGCAGGTGACAGAAATAATTCACACACCTGCAGATAGCGTGATTAATCATGCACACACTTGAGCGGATAAATGGCAATTTTTAAGTGTACGAATTTCTGTTCGCTTACCTTCAAGTGTGAGAATATTTAATCGCACACTCGCAGATATGCGAATATTTGAACTCACCTGCAAGTGAGCGACATTCGTATTTTTGGATTTCTAGTGTGATATACTTTGAACCCCTTTGAGCGTTTTGAGGGAAAGAGCGATTTTATCCCATTTTAACTAGTCAAACTAGCAAAACCTCCATCGCTGATGGGGATGGTAGAGGCCCCGTTAATCCTCATTCAGATCCCGGAGACGAAAATTTTGCAGCAGAAACAGCTGCTGCGGACGCACTCATTTGTGCCGTGTGCTTAACTTCCTCAGCTCAGCTCAAAGGATGAAAAAATGCTGGAGAAGGAGGGGGGGAGGAGGCTGCCGCGGGTAAATGCGGGATTTGATTCTTTTCAACCTCCGCGAAGCTGGTTCCAAAAGTTCTTTTTCTCTCTCTCTTTTCCCTCCCTCCTTCATCCCTCCCCGTGACAGGTGCCGGGGCGGGCCAGCCCAGCGTGCCCGCTCTAGCTCGAATGAATACCATCTCACTGTTTTTCCTCTCTCTCTCTCTCTCTCTCTCTCTCTCTCTCTCTCTCTCCCTCTCTCCCTCCCTCCGTCCCGCGGAGGGTGGCCCGGGTCCGCGCCGAGTGTTTGCATTTCTCACTCTAATTTATTTTTCGTTTCTTCGTTCACTTCTCCGGCGGATCGGGCAAAGAAACTCGTCTGGCCGTCCCATTAGCAAACGACGGTGCGGCTCCGAGCAAGAACTGAGAACAAAATGTAATTAAACACCCTCGCTCGGCTCGGCCCGGCTCGGCCCGGCTCGGCCTAGCTCGGTTCGGCTCGGCTCAGTTCGGTTCGGCTCAGTCTTCCTTGTTTTGCAGGCCGCTCCCCCGACCACTGCCGGCGCACTGGCCGCGGCTCCTGTCCTAAGCGGGCCGTAACACATCGTCCGGTCCATTGGAGAAAATTCATTATGTATCAGAACTGATTAAATAAATTGCTTTCCATGCCAAAGGCACACTACTCGCACTTTTTTCTACCCATCCTATACACCGTATTCTACTTTGAGCCTATCCCCTTTTCTAAAGTAAAAATAACAATATAAAACAAAACAAAATGCTGATGGAAGTTTAGAGGAGGAAATATTGCTGGCGGGAGAAAACAAACTGAGGGCACTTCAGGAACAAGCAGGCCCGCCGTTCCGTTAAACAGAGAAGCCTCCTCCACTATGCTGCGCTTTTAACAATCAAAACGTGCATTTCGTATTCTAAAGTGACGATTATGTGCCAATACGACACTATTTCGGACGAAAACCATCTGCAGTGTATGATCTTCTGCATTTATGTCGGGTTTCTGACGGACTTGCGTGATGCTATGGACTATGGATTTCCCTTGGGTGACAAAAAATGCTGTAAAGACGTCGCAACATAACTACATCCCACCTCTCTGCTTTGAAATGCAATACGTTGAATAAACTAGAGCAAATAGCTCACGTATGATATACAAGGCCAATTGTTACCTTTTGTCTAAATCGGTCTTCAGAACATCTCTATCCACTTCATTGCCTGTTCAAACCAAACGGCACGTAAAAATAACACGAAAATGGCAGAAATGAAAAACGTGTTAAGTGCGCGTTTACAGCGTCACCGTGCTTCACTTGGAGTAGCGAGGGAGGCCGGAGGGGGGGCTGATCGGGCGGCGATGGGCCGGCTTTGCGGACTTAGAGTGCGGCCAGCAGCAGGCCCTATCTCCAGGCTGCAGTGGACGGGCAGGAGCAGGGGCTGGGGCCAGCATTGAGGGAGGAGC